CTTAATTAAATTCTGCAACGATTATTGAAAAAATTGTGCGAAAAATAATCAATGAAAAAACTTTAAATTCTAAGATTTTTTAAAACTTTGTATCTTAAATTGTTAATATATTCAAAAATTCCTTTAAATTTGTTTATCAACTTTGCAAGTGAAAGATTAATTCCTGTGTATGCAATTACAATGATACCTTTAACAAAAGACTTTAAATGTGGCAGTTCTTTAACTAAATCTATAATTGTAGCAGTATCATACACATCAGTACATTCAATATCTGCTTTTTGCATGACCAAGTAAGCTTGGTATTCTTATACATCTATCAATCAGAATCGACACAGCTTTTACGACTTGCTTCTGTACTCAACCATTTAATTATATTAATTTGAAAAAATTATATCGCTCAAATAGCACCCCTTTACTTAATGTACATTTGTGCTTATTTCACACCAGTTTGAATTGTTGCAAAAATTCGACTCTGAATTGACGATATCTTATTGAATATACCTATACGAAGTTAGCCCGCGTTAGAAGTTAGTTTTTGAGTTTCAGATCATTTCAAGGATAGAAATTGTGTCAACCAGCACCTTAGACAATCCACGCACCAACTTGGTTGAGGGACAATGTAAAGATTATTTTCTATAAACAATTCTTTTTAAATAAGTAAATATATCATGAAAACATATGCAAAAGAATAAATTGAAAATAAATACCACATAATTTGGCAGCCAAAAATTCCCAAAGAAATCATTTTATTTGATCCAAAAAATGAGACTCCCCCCTTAAAAAACTTGAATTGGATTATACTAGTATTATTTGGAGTGGTTTACAATCAATTTCAAATTATTTCATGTTTTCATAATGATAATAATTAAAGTTGTATAATTTTTTAAGCACAAAATGCAAATATTTATGGAATAGTACCGTTTTTCAAGCATGAGTAGCGTTCAAACTGTTTTTATCTGAGAACATTACACCGTTCAAGTCGCGAATTATCCCGATATGTTTTGGTAAATTAATAAAATTGAAAACGACTCACCGAATGGATGTTGTTTCCCTTGGATTTTACTTCGAAGCTTAGCTGGAAAGAAAAGATAAATTAATTTATTGTGACAAAAAAAATTAATTAATACGATACCTTTTAACATCCATAAAATAGCAATCCGATGATCTCAACATCACTAATATCACCTAACACTGAGCATAATTATAGCACGTATTTATCACTTAATTCAAGTAATAAGTTTTACTTTTCTAAACTACTTCCTCACTCTTAAATGCCCGCACATCAACTAAAACGCGTTATTAGCGAATCAACTGCCAAACATCCCCTCCTTAATTTATTGTGTGAAGAAGGAATACTGGAGGTAAATAAACAAAAAATGTAAAGACGACGGGGCGAAGCGGTTTTAAATCGTTTTTTGGTTTTAAAACTCAACCTTTCAATAAAAAAATTACTCGTTTTCTCGAAATATTTCAAATAAAATTTACGTTATTTTACTAAAATAAAACGCACTAATCGAATTTCAATGTTTAACACTTCCTGCGTAAGAATCAGGTGTCCAACAAATAATTAAAACGAAGCAGCCAAGACGTTAGATTATCCATCATCCCTTATTTTTTGTGTCTGGAAATATAAATTTAAAAAAAATCGTATCTCAAGAATAAATTGAGATATCATCATGAAATAAAAAATATTTTAAAGCAAATTTAATGAAGATTTAATGGCTATATATAATTTCTTATTTTTTATAAACATCGTTGTTACAGCAACAACATGATACAGCTGTTCAGAACCCGTAAAATATAAAATTAAAAAAAAAAGACTAGAAAAGTAGTAAGAACAACAATAAATTATATTAAAGGAAGAAATACTAAAACCAAAAATTAACTTACTTTGTTTGTTTGTTTACTTACTTTATTATGATTAGTAGAATATTTCAAACATTATCACATTAGTGTGTTCTCTAGTAGTAATCCGTTTACAAAAAAATATTTTTTATGTAATTGGAGAGTAGACTTCCAGGCAGTAAATTCACCGGAGTCGTTTAAACAATCGTACGTACTTAATTAGCAAATTTAGGGATCGGGCATTTCCATTTTCGCATTCACTATGGATCATGCTTTCGATGGTGATGTTGACCACTAAAATTGGTCAATTAATAAAGGAGATAATTCACTTATTTGATTAAGTAGTTTTTTGCGTTCTAATCAAAATCCTTAAATATTTCGAATCGGGCATTTGACATAATTATTCAGCCAGGCGCAAGCTTTCGTTTGAGATATAAAATATTAAAATCGGTCAAGCCGTTCTTTAGTTACAACGAATTTAATCAAAATTAATTTTTTCTTGTTGGGGGCCAGACTTCCAGTCGGTAGATACGTGGCGTCATTTAAATGACCGTACGTAGATAATTAGTAAATTCTGAGATCATTTCCCGTACGCAATCATCCAGACGCAAGCTTTCGTTTGAGATATAAACCATTAAAATCCGTCAAACCGTTCTCTAGCTATAATCAATTCAATACAAATTATTTTTTTCTTATTGGGGGCTAGACTTTCGGTCGTCCATACTTACATAAACAACGAGCCGAACACGGTGTCATTTCGAGGGCTGTACAAGGTTAACGGGAGAGAATTGAGATGGGGCGTTTTGTGATTTCGATAGATGTAACTATGGGGAATATATATATATTTTGATAATCGAGTGCATCGTTTACGAATTATGACCACTTAAAGAAAGTAATTTTTGTGTTATTTTCGTGTACCTTCGCAATATTTTGGCGTTTTAGTGGAATTCGAAAGAGATTTTAAATCGGGCTTCCACTTTCGTATTGGCTAAGGATTCAGCTTTCGAATGAGACATTGTTTATCAAAATAGGTTCAGCGGTTCTCTTTTTATAATCAAAATGCTACACATGTAAAATCCTATCTAATTGGGGGCTAGAAAAATTGGGGCTAACTTCACATAGGTCTTCAATATTGGTTTTCAAAACTTGTGAGGTTTGCGGTTTGTTATGGTAACATGGTACACGCAAAATTACCAGAAAGTTCCAAAGACAGAAGACTGGCGCCATCAAATCAGGCGATCTGGTCGGACAATAGATGATGTTTATGTTTTTGATTAATTGGTACATAATTATAGGTGCTCAAAGAAGTTATAGAAATAGAAACATATAGAAAATATCAATAGATGATTGTTTCTATATAACCACACATGATGACCGGACTTACAAAAAATATTAACCACAGTCTAAAACTAAATATTAGCGATATATTAGACATGGAGGAAGGAGAAAGTCACACCCAAGAGTTTTTACCCATGAAATTAGCAAAACTGGCACGCAGCAATATATGTCCCAGACCTAAAGCACCATATTCTAATATTATCAAGCTGTTTGTAGTGACCATAGAAAGGACAAGGGTTACTAGTAACACCCTGTATGCCATTATCTTATTGATGAAAGCAGTATTCATTTTAGCTCCATCAGATAATGGTATCTTATGGTTTTACAGTAAGCTTATTTAAAGCTCTACAATCTATATAAGGTGCCCCATCTCCCTTGAGTCCTGACAATCGCCAAACTATGTCCTTCAATGGTGGATATTTGCAATGCAAAAGTCAATAATACAGGAGAATTATCAATCACAATTGATGTCCATCTACATGTTCCATTGCCATTGTCATACTTTTCTTACCGTCTCAGTTAATTTCAGTTTTTACAAGATTTTCCCATATCTTCCTGAATATTGTAGTTTTCTGCTTCACAACCCATTTTTCTACTTTGCTCAACATAGTTCCATTATAAGGTCTTTATGGAAAATATTCACCAGAGTTGCCATAAAATATCCGAAATAATTATTGGAAATAACCCCTTTCGGTATCGGTGTGCAGATCATAATTTCGGATATATTTTTAATAACGTTTCATAATACTCTATTTTCACAGATCAAAGGTTCTGACACATTCTTTTTGATCACCGATATTGTAGCCTTTCTCACTTGGTACGTTTTCATACATATTGTGTCATTTTGGCATTACATTTTTACTCCAAAATTGCCTCAGATCATCGTGATAAATGCTTAAAGTAGGCAAAGAGATTATTTGAAAGTATGATAAATTGCATCAGATGATTATACTACAGGGTGCGGTAACATAACTTCCTTTTTCACAACTTAATAAAACCTAAGGTATGAATCAGAAAATTTTTATTTGCTTTTTATAATGTAGGCACATACATAAAGTTTTGTTTCACACAGTTTTGAAGATCAAATCAGGTAGGTGACGTCCCCCATTATCCATACACTGACTAAACCAATTTCTGGTGTTTGTCATGATTCTTGCCAGTATAGCAGGGGTTATGTTAGAAATTTCTTCCTGGATGTTGGGTCCTTGGACGGTTCACATAAACACGGGATTTCAAAAATACCCATAGAAAAACATCACAAAGGACCAAATCGGGAGACCGGGCCGGCCACTCCAAATCGCCCCTAATTGAGATTAGGCGTTTTAGGATGTGTTCCCTCAAAACAGCCATCATGCTCTTTAAGTGTGAGCCGTTGCACCATCTTGTTGGAACCAAATGTCCCCTTTACAACATCGAAAGTGACTCTATTATACAAATCTATCTGGAAATCTATATGGATGTACAGACTTGAAATACTGGAAGAAAAAACAGGTTTTCAATCTTAGATATGGCAACAAATGAATAATGCGGCATGATTATTGACAATAATACCATAATATTATTCACAATGACATGTTCATCATGCTACATTGAGAGATTATTTCACAACGCCTATATACTTATTTTTAGAATGTAGAGATTACCCCAACTAAATCTCCAAAATTAAATCTCCTTAATACGATCATCTCCATTAGGGGTGTTATATTTCCCCCTAAATGTATTGTTTAATTTTATAATTTGTTACGGATGACAGTAAATAAAAGAACACAATAAGTAAATTTATTCGAAATGTATCATGATTTTCTATTTTGTTTTAGGTCCATGTGACTGTTGAATTCGAAGTGACGTTGCCAGAATGCGGGTAACCAAGAAGATCACCGAGTCCTTCTGGTTGATTTTCCTGCTGGCGGTTTTCCCACGTCAATTTCAGGCGTTTGATATACGTAAGTTAAAGTTGGTTTTGTTTGGGTTACAAGGGGAACTTTGTTTGTTCTTTACCCCTTTTTCGTTTTCAAAAGTGTAAAATTTATTTCACGATACCATCGCGATTAGAGTTTAATTTAAAACTGGGACAACATGGAATACTAAGACTTTTATTTTCCACCTCGAGCTTGTATAATCCATATGGGACCGAGGGGTTTTAGTTATCGCGAAATGTAGTACGATTTTTGAGTGCCGTACCGCGGAATATCGTACGAAATGAAAAAAGTACTGTCATCTTCTTTATAAATAGTCTACAGTGGCGCGCGATATTTTCCATTGAGAGTAGGTAAACTTCGGTCCTAATAGGCGCACAAATCACAATTTTCAGTGGCGGTATGTTCTCTGCGCGCGACGTAAAACCGCCGATATATATCTGGAAGGCATATGTTGGCCCATGAAGGGGGTCCCTGGTGATTTATAGATCTCGGTCTCGCTGTTTACGCATCCAATATCATCCCGTTTCTTTGACGATCCCGGGCTGAATACGAAATCCTGATGCGGTTGCGACCGTTTAAGTAATTGTGACGTTTCATCCCGGGAATGGGAAAAGCAGAATGATTGATGTTCTCTAAATCCAAAGCCACATCGTCGACACTTTCTTCTTTATAGACAGATTATAAAAAAAAGTTAAAATAAACAAATTCATTTTTTTTGTTGACTTTATAAAAAAAGTTATTCCAATTCGAAATGGATAAGAAAAGGAAATTCTAGCTTTGGGAGTTGGATCCTTATTGAAATTTATTATTTCTTCGCTCGGAGTCCACCTGCAAGTCTGTTTCGTTTCGAACTCTAAAATTAGGTTTAAATTTTAATGCAATTCGAAACGTTCCACGCCAATGTGGAGGCTAAGCGTTACATTAACGTTGCGATTTCATTTCGCCAAGTTTCATAATTTAACACCGTGGTCTCGCCATTTGCCGAAACCCCAATCTGACGTTGTCCCTTAACATGCAGAAGTTGATTTTTTTATTTTCACTTTTCGGTGGTAGTCGCCGTTGGGATTAAAAATTTCAGGTGGAGTCTTGACTCCTCGGGGCTGCGAAACGAGGCGCGAACAATGAAGAATTACGGTCCGGGAATTGTGGAAAGAAATTAAATTCTACTTGAGGATTTAATTTTTGATTAACATCCATTTTTCATGTAATTGTTCGCGGGAAACCAAGCCCCTGGTATAAATCTTATTAAATTTCTTTGTTTGAATTAGACGGATATTTTTATTCATCCTTTTATTTTTGTTTTGTGTCATTCTCTCGAGTTACAATTGATCAGGCAAGCGCTCGTCATAAAATAGGTGAGCGTAAGATGTCCGCAACTGATACCACATCCAATTTCACCAGTGACACAGTAATTTTGCAAGAGCCCGCTATGCCGTAATATTTTGGCAGCTTCAATTTAAACGTGACACATCGCAACGTACGTCCCCTCTATAACGTAGCGAAGACTAATTATAATAAAACCACGAAATTACTCCCCAAAACGGGATGGTCTCACAAACGCCAAGTTGACGTACTGTTAAAATATTCAAAATTTTACCCTAAAATTTATATTCAACAAAGTTATAAAATGTATATATCACAAAAAACCATTAAAATTTACTTTAAGCAGAAAGACAATTTAATTTAATTGTAAAGTTTAGGGTATAGTAGACTGTTTCCAAATAAAATTAAACGTAAGCGAACCTGGCGTGATAAACAGGGTGTCTGTTTTTGATGCCGTACACGGCACGATGTGGTTTTCGTTGCCACGAAATTACTACCCCTGTAACGGGCAGTCGAGACCCTATTTACACAGCCGCGTGGATAATGACACTATTTGACAGTAAATCGCTGTGGTTAGTAATCTGTTTCAATTTATCAACACCAGTGACTAATTTGCATTTGATTTGTGGTGTATTGGAACAAATTGTACAAAAATTTTCCATTTTGATGGTCAATAGCTACCCTAAATAACATGATTTTAAAGATAACAACATTTTTAGTCAATACACTGAAACGACTACCTTAATATTCCTTGAATACAACTCTGATTTTCGGGATATATTCGGAACGTTATTAGATTTAGGATAATTCAAATTGTATTTTTTAAATTCTTAAATTCGTAATAACGTAGAGAGTAATTGTAAATTTGTTAATTATCGGTTTAAAACGCCAACAAAAAAAAAGATTCAATCATGGAGTTAACCCCATTATTAATTTTCAAAAACAATCGCATAGAATATTTGTTTTAAAATGGAATACTCGTAATCAAACCACTTTATAACAAAAAAAAGTTATCCTCTGTTCCTATTTAGAATTCGATTTGCATATGACATTTCATTTTACGCGTCCAATTGTAAATCACACTCTGTGAACTGGCGAACTTTTTTTTATATTTTGTACGTAAATAGTTGGTTTGTATTTTTTTTTAAGTGACAATTTTCCAGGTAATAAAGGATTTAATCCGTATTTTCGAAAATAGTTGTTATTAAAATTACAATAACAATATGATTCTCCGCCAATTTCAACGTTATCGCCCTGAATGTCCCGAGTCGAATATTCCTCGAAAACTTGAAGGACATCAAGATACATTAAAACTCTGGTCTCAAAAAAAAATTTATGTGAGTTATGTTCAATTATCTTTACAGAAAAATTATACATATTCTCCCATAATAACAAGTAATACCTAAATTGACTATTCCACTCTGCGTCGTCCATACATACCTTTTTTTCTTTGTCAAATACATTTTGCTGAACCGATAATTCCTCACTTCATTCAATTTCGTTTGTTTTTACTGCACCAATTGGTGCTGTACCGATCGGCTGATGCGTTGTTTATCCCGAGTGATAGCACAAAATTGCACATGCAGTCTCCACAGTACATTTCTATAATGTTTATTGCAAATAGCATCGATAAAATTCATCACTAAAAACACAACCCGCAAAATTAGCGACTATTTCAACCTTTTTTATCCACTCCTTAATGGATATGTTCAGAGATACCAGATTCATAGCTATTTTAACTTGCAGCTCCTAAACATCTTTGTAATAAATTAGTTTCAACTAAATCTAAGGAAATTTTCTTGTTTATTTGAAGAACTGTCATTTAAACTTCGGGCGGCGAATATCTGCTTTGCAGTCCTTTGAGGTTTGAACACACTTCATTTTTGATGTTTTCAAGTGAGTTTGGATTTCTTTTTATAGCTAAACTACAACATTTATTTACATTATTATTTTTTTAACTAAGATATCTAAAATAACACGATAATTAAATTAATTAAAACAAAAACTCTTTTGATTTTGCAGAATTAAGAGTTAAACAAATTATGGTCAAGCTCAGCTTGTTCATAGAGAGAATCACAGCAGTATGGATTGATACTTCCATCTTCAATATATTTACAATACATCTCCCCATGCTTCTCAACTGATATAAAAACTAATATGAACAACTATTTTATTAACGGCAACATTTTTCATATTACCTGCACTGCCATAGTGATTAATTGCACAATAATCTGTAAGAAGCTCAAACCAGTCGTCAAATCAAAGAAAAAATAAATGCAGAAGTTCAAAGACACCGGTTTCGAAGTAACCAAGACCCGCCGAAAACACAGAGTGCAAAAGAGCACGAGTGTTCTAGAAAAGTTGCCCCAATTTCTTACACTACAAGTTACATTGTTGAAAGAACTAACTCTAATGGATGTTGCCCTGATGTTCTCCCACGCTAATAAAATGATTCAAGGGTTTCGGTATTCAAGAGTGTTTGTTCATTCAACAAATTCAAACTGAAACATGATATATTGTTTTCCTAAGGAGCTACCTTATCCATATGAAAGGTATTCCTCAACATTGCACACATTCTGAAAGAATTAATAGAGATTATTCTACGAGAAATGGCTACTATCACGGACAATTCTCGAAAATTTTGTCTCAAATTTAGAAGACCTAATTTTTGAGAAGTAAATTTCCAAAGCTTCCTAGATCAATCACGTGATGACTAATATGGAAACTGATGCACTAAGAAATTCGTCTACTTCCTATCAAAAATTTAGCATGTAGGAGGAGGTCCGGAAAGGTAACCGAACGTCGACTAAAACAATAATATTATCGAGCTTCCTGGATCTCTTGACAATTGCTACATTTCTGGTGATAAATCTATAAGAACGTTGTAACGGTTTCATTCAAGTACTTTCTATCTAATTTTATACTGACCCCCACGGACTTACCATAACGTAACATTTGATGATGTTACATGTCCAATCAACCTGATTCATAAAGCATTTCAATTAAAGTCCCTTAATGCTAACAGTAAACCTTTTATCCACTCAACCAGTTATGGCCTTAGGTGATGTAATCTGTCATCATATCGAAATATGATATTCATCTCCAAAACTGTCAATCGTTCAACGGCCTCATTCAAGCAAGTAATGTATCTAGCCACAACAACCCACTACTAGATTATCTTTTCTCCAAGTTTCCATATATGAACGTCAAGATTTAATTCCTGTAGTGAATAAAGATAGTCATTGTCCTGCACTTGGAGCTATAGTTTCATCTTTATTCCTGAAATTTAAGATAACAAATGTCAGGTTCAAGGAATTGCTCAATGATAACTGATGTTGTGGGTGAATGTATAATATTTTATTATCTTATGTGTAGAGTTCTATTTCACTGAAATTTAATGCCAAAATTTGAATGTTGTAAAGTGTTAAAAGCAAACATCCCCTCATGCTCGTAAACCACGTTATCAGGACCTAAAACTTGTTGGGGTTACATACAATCTAGGAAAGGTTCTTCTCGAATACTTGGTATATGAAGTACAAAAATCTCGAAAATACCTCGATATTAACACGTTAACAGTCCACAGCCCATATATGGGCTGTGAACGGAAAGCGCCAAATACACCGATTTTGGAAAAAAGAAAACGAACGTGTGAGGCACTCCTCAGTCTGCTTTGGACTGTTAACGTGTTAGGCGGTTTCTGA